GTAGATATACTGTATATCCATATCTATGGTCTACACTGGATGCGGTGCGGCACGACACGACAAATCCCCGACAGAAAACTGCTGCTGCTTTCTATTCATGACGTATTGACACAAATTTCAAATGATTTTCAACGGTCGCTTTGTCGCGTCCAGTGTACTAGACAGACTTTAGCTGTTGTGGCGCAGACACGGTGTTACTCACCTATCGAGAAAAAACAAAGCAACCTTGGCGTCCGATCGCAGGCCTTCCGCTCCTTGAGTTCTCTCCAGCTCTGGAAAGCTGATCCAATATTTACACGGGTCCTACTTCTTGCCTTATTGCCTTAAGCCTTCTCTTGTTCCGCAGACGTTTTCCTCTTTTGTTTTTTACCCGCCATCTCTATCTTTCTATCACTCGGCTAATATCCGTCCTGTGCACTGAACGCTCTCTCCTCCACATCATGAGTAGACACGTCCCTTACTGCTGATTGGCTACAAGTTTGTTTTGCTATTCAGCCCGAATCAGTTTTCTAAAGCGTTTTTGAAAAATCACTTACCCCACCTTTAATGTACTGTGATTAAACAGCAAGGTTAATATAATTCACCTGTGGTGTTTTGCCTTAATAAAAGATGTTTGAAGGTTACATTTTACCACCATATATAATGATAAACATGACTAATAACTACATTATAACGCTCTCACCGTCCTTTCTTTATGGTTTCACGTCCGAGTAGCGGACCGAGCACTGGATCCACTGCTTCCTCCAAATTCTCAATGAGGACAACTTCACCTACAGATAACGCTCTCTCGATGGAGTCCAGATATCTGCATTAACACACACACAGTAAAGCAGACATCAGTAATGAATCGGGTTAAGCAGATATGGTGTGTATGCAGACGTAATGTGTGTTCTACCCTCTCTGTCCAATCCTGATGATTCGCAGCTCTTCTCCGTATTTGCTTTTGATCCATTTGATTCCCTGCAGCTGCGGATCCACCATGAGCGGCCATCGTTCGCAGCTGGTGAGTATGGTGGCGTTTTCAGTCGACATCCGGTCCGCGGGCAGACCCTCGTTCTGCCAGCCTGCGATGTCAGCGTCATCCGTCAGCATGGTCAGCGGGTCCAGACCCGGAGTCACCGGGATTGGCACCTGCAGGAAGAGCACTCATAGACTGAACCCTCACAAAAACAAATGACACCGATTAACAGAGGAATGAACTACCCTGTTGAAAAACAGAAACAGCATATGCTGGTTAGATATTGAAGCATGACAGCTGGTTTGAGCTGGTTTAAGCTGGTTATAAGCACATGACCAGCTTAAACCAGTTCATAACCAGTTTAGGACCAGCTTAAACCAGCTGCCATGCTTCAAAACATACTAACCAGAATATGCTGGGTTTTTCAACAGGGTATGCTTTAGATTTCAGGTGAAAGCCACACTGGCCTTAATCAAACACATGATCTCTTACTCTGTTAATCTTAAACATTTTAAAATCTCAGTTTTTAGCCAGTGGGACAGACCTTGAGCTGGCTCAGGTATGGCCTCCAGCTGTTGTCCATCAGCTCCAGGCGGTAACGTTTGGTGAAATAGCCCAGATAGGAGACGAAGGCAGTGATGAGGAGCACGTCTCCACACAGAGTGCTCTCCTGATGCCTGAAGTTCTTCACCGCCTCTGCCCAGCGCACATTCTCCGATGCCAGACCTCCAACCTGAATACACACAACTCTGTGAGTCTGACAATATCATTCAAAACACTCACAAAAACAAGCTCTAAGTAAAGTAATAAATATATATTATATTAAAGTAAATGACGTGTTCACCAAAGATGTGAGTTGTTTCTATTTGCTGGAAACTCAGAATCACAGTAATTCTGACAAGCGTATATGTCTGGAAAGCGTTTCATCCATGTTCATTCCACCAATCAGAAAGTAGCAGCAAGCAAAATAAGATCTTTAGCTCCACCCACTCCCATAAAGCACCATGAATGACAAATTGAATAGGTTCCCTTCGCTCTCAAAATATTTTAATATTTGTATATTTATTCATATTTAGCAAAAACTTCAAATGTATAGTTCATATATATATACATATATATATAAAAAAATTACAACTTTAAATTAATAGCTTTATATTTCACCATCATTTTTAATTTGATGTCATTCGCATTTTATGTCATTTGCCATGCTTTATGGGATTGTAGTTCACGTTTGTCTTTTTGTCTGATTTTCAAATACTTTTCCTGCTTCAAATCGAAGTCTGTAGTGTTGTGATCCTCCTCATAGCTGGTTGGTTTGGTTCACATCTTATAACGCTTTAACCAAGACTTGCGAATGCAAAACGAACGTGAAAAAGACTTCTGGTACCAGTGCCACTGTCAAAGTGGACAGCACTAATGCAGCTTATTATGAAGTGCAACCATTCGGACTCCAGGCCAGATATTTAAAGGTGCAGTATGTAATTATTTAGATTTTGCTTGAGCAGCAACAACCAATTCTGAAAACTGGCATCATTTGCGTGATTGTGTCTGCTGCCCGCAGTGGTGTGGAAATGACGCACTTGACCTTTAACCCCTGGTCCACACCAAACCCCTTACACATGTTCAGGTCACTGCCGGATCACTGCTGTTCAACACACAATTATTCCCAGATCAAACAATCGCTGTAATGAATAACTCCAGCCGGTGTGCTTCAGGCAAACTAGTGCTGCTGCACGTGTGTTTGTGTGATTTCCTGCTGACTTAGTATTGCTGCATGCTTCAACGGACAGCATAAATGACTTATTCTGGGGGTTTGCTGCATTTGAATTATTATTCAGAATTTTCTTCTGTTTTGCTGGCTCATCTATTTTTTTCTTAATTAAGACAGGAAGCAGCAGCTCTGGGTGTAACGTGGTGTTGATGCGTGCAGCGCTGGAGACTCACCAGGCGGTTGGCGAGAGCGATGGTGCGTGCCGTGGTCTCAGCCTCCTGTTGGCACCGCAGCTTGTCTGCTGTGGCTTTCTCAAACTTCGCCGTCAGCTTCGCCAAGTTCTCATTAAGTTGCTGTCAGGAGAAGAACACAGACAGAGGATGTTATAAGACAAAACAGGGGTAATGAAGTTTTAGTCTCAAGCTACTTGGAAAAAAATGAATTCATATCTGCAAAAACTCAGGTGATATGAACAAACAAATAATAAAACAAAATAATAAGGACTTAATTTTAATCTACATCAACATTTTAGGTAAAAAAGGAATTTATAAGGGAAAACGCACATTTTACGTCACGCTTCTTTCAAGTTTTTCAACACTTTCTACCTTTTGTCTTTAGTAATTAATTTTAAAGAGAACCGTGGTGTGACAAATTAATTTTTAAAAAGTAAATTAATATAATATAAAAAAAAAAAAAACACTTAATACGAGACCATTTAAGCTGTATGCATACTAATAAAAGTTTGATCAATTTTAGATTAAACATTTTAAATGTTGGCTCATCCAGTCAAATTTCTGTGTCTTTTCACTCATGTTTGTAGCTGCTTCATCTGCACATGTTCTCCAGTGTTAATAGAGCAGTCAGAACAGTATAAAACTCTACTTACATTGATTTTTGCCTTGATGATGGAGAGCTTCTCCTGCGCGGCGGCGAGTTCGGCGTTGGCTTTGCTCAGGGCTTGTCTCTTAGGCTCGACCTCGCAGTAAACCTCATAAAACTTCACAATGTTGATGACCCAGGAGCAGAGGCCGGCCGCCGCGTTGGATTTGGCTGCTATCAGCTCAGGGCTGAAGTCTGGGTCCCCTAGGTACGGCTGGATGGCTTTGAGACAGTTCTCGTGGATGTTTTCCTTTTTGAAATGGATCAAGGCGTCGAGGAAGGCGTCCACCTTAGCCATCATGACTTTAGCAGCCTTCCAGCTGCGGTCCTTGGGAACGCGCCCACCCGGGGCCATGAGGACCATCACAGCGGCTGTGACGTTTGTCACGGCGGCTACAGGAGAGCCGAAAGACTTCAGCTCTGTCAGATTGTTCTGAAAACAAGAGTCAAAACAAGATATACATACAGTCAGCAAACCTTCTATATATATATATATATATATACACATTTTATATACTGTAAATCCATCGTCAATAATGCACATGTATGGCGAAATCAGACCTTGTTGAGAGTGTTCAGAGCCTCCTGTGCTGCTATGAGCGCAGGTTCGGCTTTAGCCAGGTCCTCCTCACAGTCTCTCTGTTTGCGCGTCACCTCCTTAGCGATGATGGCCACCTTCTGCTCCTCTTCATCAGCCACCGCCTTCTCCCGCGCCACCTTCTCCGTCTCCACACCCACAACCTGGATCAGTTTATCTGCGCTCTCGTTCTTCAGCTTCAGCTCCACTTCCTGTGCCGCCAGCTTGGCCTTCAGATCGTCCACCTAAGAGAAAGAAAAACAACTGAGTATTGGGATGCGGTACATACATCAACAATATGTGTGAAATACTGTAGAAACGAATGGTGGTGACTACTTTAAACATGGTATGCCATCTAATTTATCAGAGACCACGAATAAGAAACACCATGACAGGTTTCCATTTAAAATCAGGGCTGTTGCCTGAGAAAAATATACAGAATATAAAAAAATTAAAAAATAATAAAAGATAAAAAAATAATAAGAACTAAAATGCTGTAAAAAAAATACTGTTCATGACACCTAATGGGCTAATGCATTTAACTAATGTGTAACAAATATGAACCTTATTATAAAGTGGCATCATAATATTATATGTGCTGTATTTATTCCCTATTAAAGTTTGTTAAGGAAGTTAATGAACTTGCAGCTATCAGCTAATTGCATCAGCAGTTCTTCTGAATAACAGCATATTTGTTTTTTTTCTACACTCATTGTTAAATCCTATTAGTGATATTATCAGAGAAATGAGCGCTCAAAGTTTTAATTGATAAACGACAATCACTCGATTGTGAAGAAGCGCTGTTCACAGAGATATGGACGGATGAACGTTTTTTAATAAACTATTTCTGTTTTCATACGTCACAATGGGTTGAGCTGCTGGCACTTATTCAAACAGAGGCCAATTGGGAAAAGCCAGTCGGGAGAGAAAACTGGGCGAAATACACAATTAGCTGAAAACTGTTGTCAGACGCAATCCAAAGCAACACGACGCGGCTTGTGAAGCAAAAAAAAGTCAAATATGGCTGTTCTACAGCAAACTCCTCTCGAATCTGTTTCCTTTCTCCAGACTCCAAATGAGCTGATTAGCCTTAAGAAAATGAGATGTCAGGGATGAACTGCCCTCAGGTAGCAAAACCCTGCAATACTCACAAAATCAAGTTGCTATCATGTGGGTAATTAAACTGATGAATAGGAGGTAAAGACGAAGGAGGACTAATTGCCCAGAAAGCGCAGTTAGACAGCGCTCTTATGGCTCTTGGTGGAAGTTTCTCCCTCTCTGTTCCTCAAACTACATGAAACGCCTAATGATCCTCTTCAGTCGAAGAGAGCAGATCATCCTCACAAGTTCACATCAAAGAGCACGAGCCTAATATTGCATTGTTAAAATACCGTAAATCATCTCAAAAGAGACCGTTTGAGATGAAAAGGCAAAAGAACTCTTAGATAATAGACAATTGGCGCTGCTGTTATCATCAACCACAAGGCTGGACTGATCTCCGTCATCATCATAAAGAAGGTTACATCATAAACATGCTTATCTTGAGCAAAGAAAAACAATGCAGATTCTCATTTAGACATGCACCGCTTAATGAGTGGCTATAAAACGGAAAAATCCACCTCTATGCCCACAAATGTGGGCAGGGACCAACTAGCTTGAATTGATATCCGCTCTCCGCTAATTACATGTTACGGGGTCCCACCTCAATAAAGCAGCACCAATAAAATTTCTGCCTCATTAGCAGCTACTTTTAATTTAGATTTCTAGCCAGGCCGGCTCTCCTCTCATCGCTAATGTAAAGAGGCTATTCTGGTGGGCGTGGATCTCTAACAGCACTATCGGATGTATTTTGTGTATGTGTGGATTCTGACTTTACATTTTCCCCTCCCGTCGCTTGCAAGCTCAATCTTAGCACACAAATGAGCTTTCTGATAGCTTTTCCACTGAAGGGTGGAGGGACGAGGACGAAGCGCTGAAGCCATTACCTGAGAAGAGCGTTTGAGCCGGTCTGTGCCGGTGGGATTAACGTGTCAGGAAGCATAAAGCAGCTCAAACAGAAGGACACATTAGATAAGTCATAATGTCTCAGTCATAATAATTAGCACAGTGTAGCTGAGAACACAATTATTGCTAATAAGGAGATTTGCTGTAGAAAATGTGAACCGTGTCACTCATGCAAAAGTCACCGGAACGTTGCTAGGGTGTTGCTATGTTGCTAGTCTCTATGATAGTCTGAGGCCAGAAAACACTCGGAATAGACAGTGTTAAACAGAATGAAATTATTCTTCGTTACTATTTTCATCTGTTTTCACTTAAGAAAAAGCTTCTGAAAAATTTCCATTCCTGAAAAGACATTCTCATTGTTCAAGGTTGTAAAAAATGATATTTATAAGTTATGTTAGGATAGCCTCACACTTGGCTTAAATCCTAAAAGATACTGTTTATTTTATTTTTAAATATTAAAATATTATAATAGTAGCTACACATAATACAAGTTTTTACAAATCTTATTGATTGATGTTATTAATCCTAATGCTGTGTTCCAATCATTTTGAACAGAGATGATTTTTTTACTGAAAAACAAACAAATGATTAAATAAATAAATAAGTTAATAATTAACTAGCTAACTGACATTGCTCACACAGGGTATAACTACATATCCAAAAAATGTTTGAAAATTTGTATACTTTTTTGAGATTTTTTTTCTTACCATGATTCACTTCGCTGTTCCAGGTCAAAAATGACCGGTCTTCAACAAATTACGGTAACACTTCACTTAAAGCCTTTATGTATAATGCATTATAAATGTTATTAAAGAGTATAATGCATTATAATTATTCATAATGTGCACTGTAATACATTATATCTTGTCGTAAATAATTATAACCGAATTTAAATGCATGTGTAACAATTAATTGATGTTATAATGTATTAACTGTGGTTTCAATTATTATTCATGAGATTGTACAATGTATTGTAAGGTGCATTACAAGGCATAATTAATGCATTAAAACTACTTTTATAATGCATTATACATAAAGGCTTTAAAGGGTTAGTTCACCCAAAAATGAAAATTATGTCATGAATTACTCACCCTCATGTCGTTCCAAACCCATAAGTCCTTCGTTCATCTTCAGAACACAAATTAAGATATTTTTGATGAAATCCGAGAGCTTTCTGACCCTCCCATAGAGAGCAAGGTAACTACCATGAATCATGATCAAGGCACAGAAACATAGTAAGGACATCGGTAAAATAATCCATGTGACGTCAGTGGTTCAACCGTAATTTTATGAAGCTACAAGAATAATTTTTGTGCGCAAAGAAAACAAAAATTATAACTTTATTCAACAATTCTTCAGCAGCAGCACGCGCATGATTCGTGATGCTCTCCAAAATGGTGCCAGGGTGATGCGGAGGAGAACTGTTGAAGTGTTGGATCAAAAAGAATCACAATTTGTGTTCCGAAGATGAATGAAGGTCTTACAGGTTTGGAACAACATGAGGGTGAGTAATTAATGACAGAATTTTCATTTTTGGGTGAACTATCCCTTTAAGTAAAGTGTTACCCAAATTTCTTATAAATTAGCACAGGTTTTGTCTTTCTTTTTGAATCTAATTTATGGTAGGCCTCATTGATCCGAGCTTATGCTCCTCAGTTTTTCAGTGAATATTGACAAAATTACCCAAAAGTAATGCTTTTTTCACTCAAAAACTGAGGTCTATTAAGGCCTACGGTCAATCAGTTCCAAAAAGAAACAGAAAACCTGAGCTAACTGAAAGAAAATGAGCTGAAATCTACCGTACTCTGGGGTATGGGATCAAATCCTCAACAGTAAGTTTGAATAACAGTGATAGTATTGCTCACCTTACATGCTAAAATTATACAGTAGGCCATAAAACCACATGACAGAAAAGAATGTCATTTTCCTAACACAATAATCATAGATCAATAGAAGCCAGAGGGCTGACCGGGTGATGTTTTTGACAGACTTGCTCCATTAGCGGTGTCAGGAGAATGACAGGGACAGCAATACGTTTGCTGTGAAGAGAAACACTGAAAGCACATCCTACGCCACTCGCATTTAAAACACCAGCAGCATAAACA